TTCACTTCCTGAATATTTTTGTCTGACCCTCGAATCAAAACGGTGACCTTACGAAACCAACTATGGCAAACTTGTAAATGCTTTATTTCACTATGTACCGTTTTTTTTGTGGAAAATCATCATTCAAGACTTAAACACTGCTACTCCAATTCATCATTGCATTCACATGTCCTTGAATGTGAGAAGGGGAAAGCAGCTATAAAATCATAAATGCTGTAATATGTTAAAGAGCTGATTGCCTCTCAGCATGTGACTGCTGGTAGTGTTGAGCTCTGTGTCCCACAATTCGTTCTTGCTACTCTTAAAATGTGCACATTTGTTTCATGTCGTGGTTGCACCTTGCGATGTATAGCCTTCAGCAAACAGAGACACACCTCTGGTTGATATGGCCGTATTTGTAACTGAGTTGGGAATGAGTGGTGCAGGAATGAGTTCTAAAACCCAGGAATGAGTTACCATTATATCACTTCTGCTTCCCTCTTCAATGTTGTTTTGAAATGTGTTTTTGGTTAGATATCTGAAGTAAGAACTGTGGCTAACACAAGCTAAAGAGACATTATAGTTTTGGTCTTGTTAGAAATTAAAATCAATGTTTTGATGGTATAATGTACTTAAACATACCGTCAGTTTAAACGCTCTTTTATACTGAAAAACCAGAAATTCTTGTGCACAAGCAGTTAAGCTTTTATTCTGAAAATCCTTCATCTACGGTTAGCATTTAGCATATACGATTTCCTAAAGAGGTGAATTGAGTAGCGAAATGACATGGAGTGGTGAAAACCGAAACCTACTGATTTAACACTACAACTATAGATGTCGAGATACTACCAAGCTGAATATTAAATGAAAGTACAGTTTATTTGAATACACTATTGTTTACAGACGAGAGTAGCATGTGACAACATCCGGAATGACCGGAAACCAAACCAGCCGTGAAGCATTTCTGTATGTTTTAGAGTATTGATTATTACAGCGTTTAGAATGTGTTACATGAAAAGTGATGAAAGAGAATATGAGGAGAAAAGGCGTGTTAAGCATATGTTGAAGGTGAAAAGTACCAATCCTCTGTTTAAATGCAACAACGGACATTAGAGGCGAGGCGAGCCGGCTGGCGGGGAGGAGCCAGCAGAGGATATATAACAGCACCGGACGAGGGATTCGCTCTCTTCTCTTGCTCACGAGAGCCAGATCACAGCTGTTTTCTGCCGGAACAATATTCTGTCTGTAACACTACTGCGCCTTTTTTAATTAAAGTATCCCATTTGAATCTTCTCAGAGACTCCATTGAGTCTCATTTTAAAGCTTCTCTCCTGGACGCGAAAATAAAGAACATATTTAACACCAGCCACCATTTTGTTCAACGACCTTAAAATGCAGAATTCAAGTATAGGTATGAGGAAGCAGGAGAGCATATGGCCTGACTCCTCTACCCATTACTATGTGCCGACCGCCGGTCCGTCCTTTGCCTTGTACACCTAATAGTCATTGAAATTCTGTAGCATTTTGGTTAAAATTTGTTCTAAAGTAACACTCTAATATGAAAATGACTATGGTTGAATATATTATAAATGGAACAAGAAATTTTTATTTTTATTTTTATTTTTTATATAAAAAACCTTTATATAAAAAAATACTTAAAAATGGGGTAAAAATTACTGTAAAGTTTGACACCCTTCTTCCCCCCGCCGCGGGGATCGTCGGGATACCTGGCCGGCGGTGAGAGGTCTTCCATAACCAAAGTTATAGACTACCTGTAAGTGCGGAAGTATCTTATGTTTTGTGTGAACAGGATTACTGATCTACTATACAACGAAATAGTAA